GGTTGGTCCGGCCCCAGCAAGGACCCGACCCGCCAAACATGTAGATATCGCGGTTCCCCGGGCCGATGCAACAGCAATGGGAAGCACGTCCCTGTACGACGGTCCCGCTGTTCTCCACGTGTCGCCACAAATGCGAGTTTAGGTCCAGAATATACACGTCTGCCAAGGCAAACGACGGTGCAAAGGACGGAAGGAGGAGGAGGAGAGACGTATGATTAGAAATTCACGCACGTTTGGGTCATTTCCCGCTCTGCCTGCCCCCCCGTCCTCCTCTTCCTCCCTCGCCTCCCACCTGAAAAACAGATGCCATCGGAATATCCGCCAATGATATACATGTAGTGGCCAATTTGGACGCAGGCATGACCTGATCGACACTTGGGCACCTCACGATCCTTATCTTTGTTGGCTTTCAGCTGTCTCAGGCAGAGGTGGGGGCAAAGTAAGGGATGGTAAGAAATGGTGGGGACATGTAGAGGAAGAGGGGAGGGGTGGTGGGGGAGAGAAGTGAACAGAGGTCACAGCCGGATCATCGTCCTGGGGTCTCCCCTTCCTCCCACTCGCGCGTAACATCCCTCCCCTCCCGCCCACATGTCGCACCTTTGTCCAATGACTGTTTTCCCAGACCCAATCCGATCTGTTCCCATCCCCTTTTTTCCCGACGGTGCCTCCCGTCCGTTCCCGGGAAGGTCGCCGCGCCAGCATGCTGCGTGGGGGGGCTTGCGGTCTGCTTGGAGCCGGAGTGTGTGTAATCCCGTTGCTTTGCAGTGAAACCGGGACGATGTTTGCCAAGGAAAGATCTTCTTGGCCAGGTGTTTGCACGTTTTCTGTTGTGCGGACCGTGGGGGCACTGCCCGAATTCAATGCTGGTGGTTGGGGCCTGAAATCGGTGATGCGCGTGTCGTCTCCAGGTGGATCAATGGAGGTCGAATTGCCCATGCTCCATTACTGCTGGACTTGTCCCGACCGGTACTCACTTGTTCTTATGTAACGTGCTTTTTAATGTGAAAAGGCAAGAACGCATGAGGGGGATACAAGGGAAAGTGGGCACATTTATATCTTTTCCTCTCTGGTACCTTCCCCCGAGCATCCAACCACGAAATGCAATTCTACAGGGTTATTTTAATCACTGTGCGCACATTTCGAGTCATACGCGAGGCAAGGAAACCCATCGTGTATGGCAAGCAGAATGCAGCGTGGACACAGGTTGTAAGAGCTTGCCCATGTTTGAAAAGGCCCCGACAAAAGAGACAGGGAGTGAGGACCCTGTACGTCGACCCCGCCACGGAAAATCCATCCCACATCCCGCCTACCCTCCCCACCCGCCCTTCCACTGCGCCATGTACACACATCGCGCATGTGCTCGCCTCGTCGGAAAGCACATTCTCGTCCCATACCGAGGGACTATAGCGCCATATTTTTTTGGGGGGGGGGGCAGAGGAATAGCGATGCCAGCGAGTTGCCTGGAGGGAAGCAAAGAGCTGCAGAGTCTCTCGCAAACTGCGAGAGAGACCACCCCGAAGGCCATGGCCTTCAAACACGCAATAAAATGGTGCCATAAACCATGATATGACTGAATGGCCTGGATACAGTAAAGCTGCATGGCACTGGTCGTTGAGCGTCGCGATTTTCCGCAGACACAGCCAACGACTCGACCAGGGTCTCTGCGCGAAACCTGCTGGGAAGCACGCTTGCGTCTCTTGAGGCCACACAACACATCAGTGACGTCGAGCCGCAAGGGCGAAAACACATCCTGCAATGCAAAATGTCAACCAAACCACATACAAGGGAGGCATGCTTGCATGCACCTACTTGGCAATATTTGAGCGTGAGCCAGGACGAGAACACGTTCTCAGCATGGGCCCCGTTGTACCGAGGGCTGCCATCCTGCCAAAGATATTGATATAGACGGCTTTCTGGGGGGTGGAATTGAAATGAGCACCGCATGCGATTAGGAGGCATTATAATTGTTTGGTTCTCCAACATGTAAGAGACGTTTATGATTTGCTTAAGAAGGAGTCTGTCATATTATCTTTTCGAGTTGTATGACCACTATTTTGGTCTCATGAGATGCTAGCAGAGAAGGAATGGAATTTGGATCATGATACTATCTAAATTGGAGATATTTGTCCTCTTATAGTACATTATAAGCACATGTAGATGTCGGGAAAGGTCCAGTTGGATTATTTTGTGTTGTCGTTTGTCCTTTCTTTCCTCCCTCTTGCTCCAGTTGTGTGGAACTGCGTAGAAGTGGGAATATGTCCTTGCCGATATAATTTTTTTTCTCCCAATTCAATGCTTAGTCCTGGGAGACAACGTAGACCCTAAAATTCGTCACTAGCTTGCGAGAAAGAGCCGTAAGCCAATCGATGCCCCTGACAAAATCGGCTTTCGGTGTTCCCATCGCCCTCATTTTGTGTTAGAGCTCGTCTGATGAAAGCAACAGCTGTCTTTGGACAAAATAAAATAACCTAAGAAAGAAGAATGAAATTACATCATTCCCTTGCTCTCTACGTATAATTCATTTATGTAACGGCAGCCATTTTTGACGCATTTCTAAAGGCCACCTTCTCGACAAAGTTGTCTCGCGCACTCGTTTGACAAAACCAAAATATTAGTACCCCGTTCAGGACCTCGACCCGAATAAACCCTCGCGCGGGACAAAATGTGATATTCAGCAAACCCATGGCATCTACGGGGAAGATTGCGTTCGTGAATGTCACGTGCCGAAATCCCATCAGAAATATTAAGCTCGAAACCGAAGAAAGTGTACGCTTTGTAGCCGCACATTTTGATCGCCTTTCCCATGACAAATTTCATGGCATTAGTACGAGGTCACCTTGGCAGACCTCTCTCATCTTTGCCTTTGGCATACTTTTTTTCCTAGAGAATGACGCAGTCATATCCGGTTGCAGGATATTATTCCCTCAAAATTCAACTCATTGGTCCCCATTTTCCTCAGTTTCTCTACGTGATTTAGTCGACCTTGACATGCTACCGTGAAGGACAGCAGTAGGTCGTTCGACCTGGCGTGGCACAGTCCGAAAGCCCCCTGACAGGTAGTTTGGTTGAAGTCCACGCACAGCCCACAAGCTCCATCAAAAGATGCAAACCAACCCTAACCACTTCTAAATCGCCTCTCCTTGCGCACTTGGCGCATGCGATGGTATGCAAAACACACCTTCGTGCCTCGCTTGGCTTTGCGGGCGTGGTCAGGCCGCGCCGGAGGGCTTGGCCCATATCATATCATGTGACCCCCCGCCCTCCCCCAGCCTCTCTGTACTTGCAAAAGTGGCCTTTAGAACCACACCAGGAGCCTTTTGTGGCCCTTGCACGCCCAATAAATGTATGTCTTTCAGACGTGCAGTTATCGCACGGCAATGTCCTCCACTTGCACTTTTACCGCCCACCCTGCTTTGGCAGGCGGGACTCTTTTCCGGCCTTCCTTGTCGCCGACGCCTCGCTCAAGTTGCAGCTTTTCAAACCCATACCCTTCCGTGTGCCCGCCCAACCGTGCTACCTCGGGCCCCACCGTCCACACCGTGTATAATTTTGCCGAAGGGATGGGCATGAAGTGGAGAGAGTGTGGGGATCATCACTTCCGTGGCGGGAGAAATTGATGTTGTCCCCTTTTACCACTGTGATACATGCTTGACCTTGAGCTGCTTGCGGAGTCCCATGCGTTAGCCGCTCCCGTCCCAAAGACTTTTCTCAAAATCGTGCGGTAACCTGTGTTTTTGTGTATCCGCCGAATATGATGACCATGATCTCGCCGCAGCGATGCAGTGGTGCACGCGTCGACCCCCATTCCAGTGGATGGCAGAAAAGTGTCCGTGCGGCTTGCCCTTCCCTTATGAAAAGCTCGAAGTGAAGGTAGCAAAAAAGCATAGCTCCATCCTGTACATTAACTTTTTAGCCATTGTTTTCTTACACAATTACAGTACGTTGAGAGTACACAGGCTTCAGGGCTTTACTTGTCAATGCCATCTTCCCTCTAGGATTAACCACTTCAACACTTACGGCGTATGGGTAACCAACCTTCCCAGGGAATCGAAGGGATCGGGACCACCGAATTCTTGCTGCAGGGGAGAGACGATTCGGATGACCCAGAACAGCACAGAGGAGGGTCAGGAGCGTCCGGTCCTGAATTTTCGACTCGGGTTGGTGCTCGATCCACCGGCAGGCGTGGCAGTGCTCCGTTCCCGACGTCATCGAGTCAAGACCTGATTACCAACAATGCGCGCTCAAGAAATGGCCACAATCAGTGCACGTCTTCCTCTCCTCTTTCTGCGTTGAAGCTGGACGGAGA